GATTCTGGTTAATTTTACAATCACAAGAGGTACAAGCCTCCATCTGGTTAGTCTGCATATTATTGCAGAATTGGAATCACACTGATCAACAAAATATGTTGGCCACTAACGCTCCGTTAAGGTGGACTGGTGAGTGGAGAACAGCCCTACTTTCAGCTACGCTAAAGACCCACTGCAAATACAAGGGAGCAGAGCAGGAGGACTGGCATTCCCCAGGGAGAGGCACCTGGCACTCCAGGGCTGCCAGGGGAGGTATGGCAGCCAGATCAGGATTCAGGTGTGCGGGCAGGACTGCGCGGCAACTTAACACATCGCGTTCGGTCTGTTGAATGCCTGCAGCACGTTCTTTCCCTGGAACAAAGCTGAAGGGAAGAGATTTCCTCATTTAATGCCTGTCACTGAAGCGACCTTGTCAGCACAGGTGGCAGGGTTTCCAAATGCTTTCTGTTCCCTGCTTGCGCAAACACCAAGTACAACAGCACCCTCGCCCACAACAGAGTAGTGGTGTAGCTGTTACAGCAACGCAAGCCACTGCCATCCCCATCATCTCTCACCAAGAAGCCCTGCCTCACAGCTCTGATGGGGAGAGCAGCCGTGGTGTCACTGCAAGGATCCTCAAGCCACGAGTCCCAAGGTTAAATCCTTGTCAGGAGCCAAACCCATGGCTCACAGACCCACAGGACTGTCAGCATGGATGCAGACAACCCGGCAAGGCTGCTATTTGTGTTGTAACAGCCAAAATCCCCTTCCTCTACACAAAACCCAAGTAAAAGTGCCACTTGGCTGACATTGTTGCATCTGCACTAGGGGTCCCTTCCACCAGACCTACCTGGTCAGGGGGCGACATTGCTATAAAGACTAACACAGACAATTCTGCTAGCAGAGCCTGCAACACAAGAGTGCACCTAGGTCTCCCGCAAAAGAGATGTTTCTTGCTCATCTTCCAGTTGCAGGTTACTTTTGGCTATTGTCACAGACTAGGACTAGGACTCCCCCCATCCCCTTCTGTCTTCCAGTACAGGGGCCAGTGTTGACTTCTACCAAGTCTGGCTGAATTTTATTCTTATCTTCTAAATATGCCCTTCACATGAACTGTGAGGTAAGCAGCATGTTCAAATGCAGAACTCTGTAGATCGGTACCTGCAGCACATTCTCAAACAAATTAGCAAAAACCCAAATTACTGTGCTTATAAGCAATGTACTCCATAAGCAAAACAAATGCAAAATTAAAGAGCCTCTTCTCATTTTGGACTTCAGAAAACTCTTCTCCAGTAGGACATCAAGTAAACTGATTTAAATGCTCTTAAAACTTCAGTTTATTCTGTAATGCTAAATTTGCATCTGAGGCTCTTCACAGCACAGTATATGTCATGTATGATTATACAATCAAACTCCCTTATGCATACAGTTAGGAAGCAGAACACCTCAATCCTCGTATTGTTTCAATCTGTTTTTTTTTTATTAATCTACCAGGCAAACAGAAACAGGCCATAAGCACAGGGCAAGCATCCCTTCTTTTCTGTGCTTTTGTTGAGGAGAACTCCCCACAGCTCTACTCATGTTTACTCACCACCAGCCACACTACAGAATCCCCCAACTATATTTTATTTCATTTACCTAATATTATTCTAAATATGTACAAGCAGCCTG